CCCACGGGGCCGCCCCTGTGCCCCGGCACGGGGTCCCGCGCGAGGTCTGCGTGGAAACCGCGTGGCAGCGTGAGTGGAATGTGTGTCTCCTAAACGCCCTGCCCCAGGGCCGCCGCCGCCCCAGGCCCTTCCCGTCACCTCCCGTCCAGGCGGGCCGAGCCGGGCCGTGGCGTGTGCGCGCGGCACTGACCCCCGCCGTTGCTGGACTGTCCTTTCGTTCGCTTTCAGGGGCCCACCGGGGGCCTGGTGACCCCGGCGCTGGTGATGCTTCCTTGGCTTCTGTTTTGTGTTAGAGGGTGGTGGGGCGTGTCGGGTGGGGGCTGAGCACCCGCCGGGCTGACCGGGGGGACCCTTCACACCTGCGGCCGCCGCCTGTCACCCCGGAAGGGGCATCTGGCGTCCATGGCCGCCAGGGACCAGCGGGCTGTGGCTCCGACCACGCCGCTCCCCTGGGCCGGCGGACCGCGGCCGCCTGGCTCTTTCCGGCCTCGGGCTCCCGGTCCCGGCTGCGGGCAGGGCCCCTCCCTGTGCTCCACCCCGGGACCTTGGCACGGGCGGCTCCTGTGCCCGGTCCCTGCAGTCCGCCGTTCCGCTTCTCCGTGGGCCGGGCAGAGCCCCTCACTGAGGGCCCCGCTGGCCTTCTCCCGGGTCCTGTGAGCCCCGGGCCCTGAACTGAGCCTGCTTCCCGGCAATCGGCAATCGAGCTGCCCTTGGCTCTGACTTCCCAGGCAGCCTCCAGCCCCGCCCCGCCCTGCTCTGTCTCCAGGCACAGCAGTGGCCTCGCCCCATGCCTGTCGCTGGTGTGTGTCCCCTCTGTCCCCTTCCGCCCTCCGCCCAGCGCCCGGCTGCTCCCTGTACCCTCCCCACCCTGCTGTGCCACCACTTGACCAGGGTCCCCCTTTCCCCCTCCCAGGCTGGCTTCTCTCTGCCCTCCTGAATGGGGGAGCCCCTGGGGCCCCTTATGGCACAGGGCACATTAGCCCCGGTGCCCCAGACCTTGAGGAGGGGTCTGGCAGAAGGGGCCTCCTGTGCTGCCGCGGACGGTGGACAGGGGCAGCCAGTGGGCGCTCCACAGCGCGGAACAGGAGCTCGCCCCCAGAAAGCACCCCGCCTGCCTGCCCCCCTGGGGAGCACACCCGCCCCAGGGGGCGCTCCCCCTGCCCTCCCAGGAGAGCACTCCGCCCACTCGCTCCCGGGGGAACACCGCAGGGGAGCACTGCCTCCTGCCCGCCTGCCCGCCTGCCCGCCTGCCCGCCTGCCCGCCTGCCCGCCTGCCCGCCCTCCCAGTCCTGCCCCTCCCAAGTCTCACTTTGGGCAAAGAACAGGAAACGAACCCTCCCCTTGGCCTTTGAGGGTGCACCCGAGCTGCCCAGAGTGTGAGCCCAGGGAAATGTGGTCTTTCCAGTTTGGGGAGAGAACAGCAGAGCTGGAGGATTTTTGTGCCCTAGGCCTCTTCCAGGGCTCCCCGCCACCCCTTCTCTGTTCGCAGCGGGGAGGGTTTGCAGCCAGCAGTAAACTGTGGGTGCTGGCCACTCCCCTAGGCCCCCCAGCCCCTCCAGAGAGCCCCGTGGGCTGTCCCCTGCAGACTCGCCAGCGGGCCTCTGCGCTGGGCTGGGGCCTGCTCTCCACCCCCCAGAGCGGCTCCCTGGCATTGAGGAGCCATTTCGGTGTGGAGGTCAGTGCCCCCACCTGCTCTAGTGAGGGGCTCTGGGTCTGCGGCGGGGCCTCCCTGGTAGGGGGTGCAGGGGCCTTGGCACCATGCACGTGTGGGTGCCTGTGTGTTTCTGGGGAGATGATCAGCTTCTCTGGGCTTTGTGACCCCAGAGCCACAGTGGAATTTCGACTCGGCAAGCCCAGGCAGGTCGCTCCTTTGCTGGATGCGGGGACCTGGCCTCGGGGAAACTCGGGAGCCCGCAAACCCCAGCTCTGGTGGACCCGAGAATCTGGGCAGTGTTCAGGAGCTGGAGCACTGGCCGGGCACGGGGCTCCGCGCCTCCAGCCCACGTGCCCCGGCCCCGCCCGCGCCCCTCCCCGGCCCCACTCCGGGGTGCTGGGCTGGGGGTGCAGCCCAGCCCCCTTCTGTGCAGGTCCCCTTTCCTTCTCACCGCTGGGGGGCTGAGGCAGCCTGTGGCGGGAGGTTGGGTGTTCAGGCTGGTGGGAGCAGACCCCAGGGAGCCCTCCCTGCCTGGCCCAGGTGGGGGCGTGGCTTCCGGTAGGGCGTGGCTTCTGGAGTGGGCGTGGCTTCTGGAGTGGGCGTGGCTTCTGGGGTGGGCGTGGCCTCCGGGGTGGGCGTGGCCTCCCAGAGGTGAGGTGGGGCCAAGCTTGCTAGCCTGGGAAAGCGGAACAAGTCCCGTTCAGCATTTATTTCATTTTTTCAAAGCGTTTTTTCCGTGCAGAGGGTACATAACTTGGGGCTCATGGCATTTTGAGATAAGGCAGCTGTTGAAATGGAGGGAAGTCTGCGCTGTGCCATGGGCGCAGCCGCTGTCCGGGTGCCCCTTCGGGTACCCTGTGGTCTCTCACGTGGGCATGTTTGGCTCCAGGTTGGCCACTCTCCCGCCCAGGCTTTGAAATGGTCTTCAAGTGCGAGAACACGAGCATGAGTCATAAAGTATTGACTTTATACGCTTTTTGAACTTTATTTTTGGTTGAAAATTTTTTAAAAATATTTAAGAACTTGCTGGGAGGTCTGTGCACAGAGCAGAGGCTAGGGTCACGGGGCGGAGCGTGGGGTCACGGGGCGGGGTGTGGGGTCACGGGGCGGGGCGTGGGGTCCCAGATCTATGTCCAGGGAGCTTCACGGCCGAGGTCCTGGGTGCCAGGGTGTCTCATGCAGCCCCACCCCCTCCCATCCTCATCTCCCTTGGGTACCTGGGCACTACGTGGCCTCGGACTGAGAGGCCATGGGCCAGGGTCAGTGCCTGCCTGGGGGCAGGGAGGACGGGGCCTGGGACGGTCTTTGGGGGCCAGCTCCTCTTGTGGCTGTGATGGCGACCATCCCCATGCTTGTCTTTTCACAAGTCCCTGCCTGTCCTTAGGGCCAGCGAGGGGGTGGTTAATCTCCTCAGGGGCCTCCCCCGCCTCTGGCCAGGGGAGAGGCTGGGTGAACCTGGAAGCTGACTTCCCTCCAAGTGGAGGGGGTTGGGGGGGCCCTGAAGGAGAGGCGGGGTGGCTTTCCAAAGTGACCCTTTGAGCTTGTTCATTGTGGGATGTCTAGGATCAGGGTGGGAAACTGAGGCAGCGGGCGCAGGGAGGGGCTTGAATGTGGACCGTGGTCCAGGGGTTGTGGGGGACTCCCGAGTCCACATGGTCACATCCGAGCCAGGCCTCTGGGGGCAGTGTGGCCCTGGGCAGTGCCCCACAGCCTGCCTCCAGGCCGGTGAAGGGGAGGGGTGGCTGTGGGGCAGTGATGACCTCAGGGGCTGCAGGTGTTGGCTGCCTGAGAGGCTGCGGACCCGGGCCTGACCGGGGTCCGGGGACGGACCTGGGCTTGCCCAGGGACGGGGACAGGGGCAGGGCCAGCGGCAGGTGGCCATGGTCCTGCTGGCCCTCACTGTGCACTTCTGTCCCACAGCCTCGCCGCTCCTGCTGTTTGCCAACCGCCGGGATGTGCGCCTGCTGGATGCCGGGGGGGTCAAGCTGGAGTCCACCGTTGTGGTCAGCGGCCTGGAGGACGCGGCCGCGGTGGATTTCCAGTTCTCCAGGGGGGCCGTGTACTGGACGGACGTGAGCGAGGAGGCCATCAAGCAGACCTACCTGAACCAGACTGGGGCCGCCGTGCAGAACGTGGTCATCTCGGGCCTGGTGTCGCCCGACGGCCTGGCCTGCGACTGGGTCGGCAAGAAGCTGTACTGGACCGACTCGGAGACCAACCGCATCGAGGTGGCCAACCTCAACGGCACGTCCCGGAAGGTCCTCTTCTGGCAGGACCTGGACCAGCCGCGGGCGGTCGCCTTGGACCCTGCACACGGGTGAGCCGGCCCTCCTGCAGCCGGGGCGGGGCTGCCCGCGCCCCTGTTGAGGCTTCAGAGAAAGGGGTTCCCCTCCAGAGGCCACTGTTGGCCAGCAGTGTCCTTATGCCCCACGTCTGCTCTGGGCGGCCGGCGCGGCGGGCCGTGGGTGTTGACGTCCGTCGCATGGCGGTGTCTGCGGAGGTGTGGACCTCCGGCTGGAACCCACACCGTTTACCACCAACCTGCGGGAGCTGTTGTCTGGAGTTGGGAGGTGTGTCTCGGGGTGCCCCCTGTGCCCCTCGGCCTGCTGAGTCCCCGTCCCGCGCAGCCTTGTATCTGGCACCCGTGCCAGGCTGGGTTGTGTAGGTGACAGTGAGAACAGGCTGGTCGCTGCTTGTGTGGACACATTGTGGGAGACCAGGCTCATTCCAGACTTTTCCGAGTGGGCCTTCTTGGCAGGCGGCTACTGGGGCCTCTGTCCCTGCCTCTCCTGCCCAGGGATGGTGCTTGCTGGCTGCCCCTGGCAGCACTGGACGGGCCCCCTGCTGGGTCTGCCCAGCTCTCTGCAGGGTCAGAGGGGCTGTCTGCCATCTTGGACCCAAACACCACAGCTCACAAGGACAACCTGGGCTTTACTGAAGTTCGGGAGTGCAGATGGTGGGGCGTTTATAGGGGTGGCCATGCCTCTGGGTTGGGGTCTGTGGGTGTGGCCTGCCTCCCTGGGGTGGGGTCTGTGGGGTGGCCCGTCTTCCTGGGGTGGGGTCTGTGGGGTGGCCCATCTCCCTGGGGTGGGGTCTGTGGGGGTGGCCCACTTTCCTGGGGTGGGGTCTGTGAGATGGCCTGCCTCCCTGAGGTGGGGTCTGTGGGGTGGCCCGCCTCCCCAGGGGCGGGGTCTGTGGGTGGCCCGCCTCCCCAGGGGCGGGGTCTGTGGGTGGCCCGCCTCCCTGGGGGCGGGTTCTGTGGTGCACCTCCCCACCAGGATTAGAATAGAGTCCTGTAAAAACACCGAGTTAGTGGGTTCCACTCGGGGCTGACTGCTGTTATAAAATGTTCCTCTCTACCCCCGAAATACAGTTTGCACGTCTGTGTACTAATTTCTTCAGGGCCTTCTGCCACCTCGGTCTGGAGGAGCTGGGCGGGAGGAGCTGGGCGGGGAGGACCCAGGTGCCCGGAGCAGTCCTTCACACACACACACCCCAGCTGGCGGGCCGGTGCTGTCCGTTTCTGATTTGCTTATTGAGCGTCTGCAGTCCTGTCCACCCTGCTCCGCAGGCTCCCGGAAGGTCTTCCCGTCACCCTTACCCTGGGGCCAGGCTGACTTGGGGCTGAGTCCTGGGGGCACTGCAGGTACTGAGTCCTGAAGGCTGCAACCGCCCTCCTGCCCTGGCGCGTCCGGTGAGCCAGGGAGCGACGGTGGCATCAGGATGGCCTGCCAGCGACACCGAGTGGCGTGAGGCCGCTGGACCGGGAAGCTGGAGGAGCCTGCTGTGTCCCCTTGGAGGGGCGGACCAGCCCAGCCCTCACACCCCATGCTCAGGCCACGCTGAGCCAGAGGGGCCTCGGGCGTGAGTGCGCACCCCGGTGCGGGACCGCGGTCCTGAGCAGGGGACGCTGGGCTTTGTCCTCTGTCTGGACACGGGGGTGCAGAGTGGCTCTTCTCCTGGCCCTGCTGCCTGTCCTGTGATGGGCCCCACTGGGCCCCCTCTGTGGGCCCTTGACCAAGAGAGGTAGCCGGGAGGGCCACAGACCCAGAGGCCGCACTGGCCTGAGGGCGCTGGCGGCCAAGTACAGGTGTCCAGGCTGGTGGAGGGGCTGCACTCCAGCGCCAGGTGCCCAGGGGGGTGTGCCTAGGTTTGTGCCTGGGGGCGTGCCCGGGGGTGTGCTGGGGTGTGCCCGGGGGCGTGCCTGGGGGTATGCCTGTGGGTGTGCCCAGGGGTGCGTGCCTGGGGGAAATGGGGGCGGATCAGGCAGGTCCCTCAGGCCCTGAGTGCCTGAGGCTGGGGTGACCCTCCAGGGGCTGCAGTCCGGGTCCCCCGCCAGGCAGGCCCCTCCCTAGAGGCACAGCCCGTGGGGGCCCCGCGCAGACCGCCGGCCCCAGCGCCTCGGAGCCCTCCGGAGCGAGTGGCCGCGGAGTCCCCATTTAAGGAAGGCAGAGGCCTGTTACGAAACGCAGGGAGGAATTTGAATTATGCTCTCGCGGAGCTCCAAGCCCTGGTGCTTTCCAGCCTTTCCGTGGGCCGCCCTGGAGTATCCAGGGGGCAGCGTGGGTCTCGCCAAGGTTTATTCTCTGCTGCCTTCCAGTGGGCAGTGGGGGCTGGGCTCCTCCAGGCTGGGGTGGGGGTGTGGTAAGAAAAGAGCTGGAAAGAAAGGGCCATGCCCAGCTGGGCAGCGGGCAGTGGCTTTGCTGGGTGACCAGCAGCACCTGCAGGCCTCAGTTACCCACCGCGGGTCTCGGCTGCCCTGCTGGCCAAGCAGCCAGGCGCTGGCCAGCCCCGGGCTGCAGCAGAGGCCCCCGCTGCCTGCCAAGGCCGAGGCCCGGCCGGCTTCCTCATCCGCCCAAGGGGTCGGTGCTTCCCTCGCCGGTGGGTGCTCAGGAGATGCAGAGGAGCCAGCACCCCTCTTCCACCTGTCCCCTCAGGGCCGAGAGGAGGGGAGCTTGGCCAGGGCGGCGGGGGTGTCCCCCGCCCCCACTGCAGGTGCCTGGCACGAAGCCCACGCGAGCTGCTCCCCTGATCTGCGACTCCTCCACTGGGGCCGAGGCCCGGAAGGCCAGGCCCTCTGCCTGTCCCTGGCCAGCCAGCTGGTGGGCCGCACCTCGGGGCGGCGGAGGCCTAGCAGGGTGGGGTGTGCCGGCTGGTGCTGGGGCGTCCCGGCCCAGCCGGCTGGTCTCAGCCTCGCCCAGGCTCCGCCTGCCCCGCCGGCCTCCCGGGGTGCGGGCCAGAGGTCGGGGTGTGAGAGGACTCAGCAGAGACAGAGCGGGGAGCAGAACAGGCAGACGGAAGCCGAGGGGCAGCGGGGAGACGGGAGGGGTCTGCT